GCACTTCTTGAAGCCCTTCACAAATTAGAGAACTGCAGTCTATTTAAACAGCAAATACTGTCGATACCAAGTCATGCTACAGATTTAGAAAAAATAAATAAATTTCTGCACCAGCAAGAAAAGGGACGGCCACTTCAAGTTCACCTTCGCTGGATGGAAATTTGTTCCACGGGAACGGCATGGAATTCCCTTGAACAACGGGGCGGCTTTTGAAAAGTTTTGACCTGTGTATATTGGGAACAATGGACACTAGACCCTGAATATTGATGCAGCCGTCCCCTCAGCAACTTCTCTCTTGCTGTGCAAAATAGCTTTTCCTGCTTTGCTGTCAGTCAGGTATTTGGTCTTGCAGCAAGTAGCTGAGTTCAGGGTTGGAATAAATATAACACTGAATGAGCCTTTTCAATAGCACTTTCTGAAGGTCAATGCGTCCGGCTACAATCGCTCAGCAAGGCAGGCCAGGTTTGGAAAATCTGGCTGAGAAGCAGTGACCTTCCCAAGATGACCTACTGTGTTTATTGCTAAGATGGTTTATTCTTGGCTCTTTTTATTATTGTTGTTGTTGTTGTTGGCCACCCTGAGTTTGTTTTTATTGGAAAGGAGGTGTAATAATTGCCCAAATAAATAACATAGATCTGAAATCGTTATTGATTTAGACATCTGACATGATCAAAGTGGCTAAAACGAAGGGGGGGCAATCCAATTCCAAAATAAATGTGAAAGCAGTCTAATTAAAAATCAGGACATTGATAATAAAATTATCGTTAAAGCAATTCTGACTAATGATGCATGTCTTTATAAGAGAGAGAGATAGAGAACAGGAACCCAATACAGACAATTTATTTAACAACCACTTGTTTGAATTGACAACAGCACTGAGCAAGTGGTAGTTATGACTGTTCGTCATACTTATAGCCATCATGGCATCCCTGTGGTCATACAATCTTCATTTAGATCATCTTCTTTCTTCTTTCCTGGCTTCCTGCAAACAAAGTCAGCTGAAGGTTGCAAATGGTGACCATGTGTTGCCCTCACTTAATGACCCACTATGATTTACTTAACAACAGCAGCCATGAATTTACATCACTATGCAGTCCAGTAATGTGATGTCACACTTTACAATGACCTCACATAGCACAAGAAATTCTGGTCCCAACTGCCATTGTTAAGTGAGGACTACTTTACAATATTTAAGGAAGTATTTACTATAGTTCAGTAACAACAGACAAGAAGGAACTTTCCAAAGAACTAATCAACAGATGTTTACAAATGGAGTACCTTCAAATTTGTTCTTCCTGCTATCTACAGAGTTTTATAGCAAGAGATGCAATTCCCCCAGGCAGCTAGTTCTTAGGTGACATAAAGCATTTAAGATTTAAACAAAACCTTACATTGAGCCCCCAGATCAATAGACAATCATTTTCAAAACGTCTATCATATGACCCTGATATTGTGTATCAGTTAATAGCCTAGCTGTTGAATTTTCCACCAGCTTAAGTGTCCAGATACTTTTATAAGGTTGCCCCAGGTAGATAGCTATTGCAGTAGCCTTGTCAATGCAAGGATAACTGATGCCAACTTTGGTTGGTTGAGAAATGGTTATAAACTGATGCAATAATCATAAGTGTGCAAGCCCCATTGACCACACTGCTACCTGCAAGTCCAGAAACAGATGGATTCCTTGGTTTATAGGTCATGCTTTCAGAGATTCCTTTCCATCAGTTCTCAGCTTTTATTGTTTACGCCGAGTAGCATTTATATTAGATTTTCTTTTCCAGGTAGAAGGCCTCATCCAATTGGCCCCTATGTGTTCAACAGCCAGTTCTTATGAATGAACCATTTACAAATTCTAGTCTTGTACACCTCTCTTTTATCCACATCCATTTCTTCACTATCTTCACCAACAAGAATTTTCATTGATTATATTAGATTCACTTTCTCACTTGCAGGGCATTTCTGTCATAACATAGTTATTACTGATAGCCTGAACAGAAATTTTGCCACTTTGTCTTAAAATAAGAGATGAATGTCCAGATGCTCTCCTGATGCTTGGAATTCCATCTCCCATGTTCTCTATTAACTCAGCTTATTGGGATTTATCTCCAAAACATTTGCCAAGTATCATCTTGCTACACTTTTATTCTTTCATAAAGTTGCTTCAAATATAATTCTTCTTGTGGCAAGATTTCTGTATCAAAAGAATGATCAAATTGCATCTTGAGAAGAATATTGCAAAATTTCATGTTGAGGAAAAAAATTGATAACCTCACCAGTTACATGCACACAATCTAATTATGCCTGGAAAATCATCCTTATAATGGCTCAACAAGTTAACGTTGGAGTTAAAGGAGAATATGAAGGTAGTCCTCACTTTATGATCACAATTGAGCCCAAAATTTTCATTGCTAAGCAAGTCAGTTGTTTAGTGAGTTTTGCCCCATTTTTATGACCTTTCTTGCCACAGTTGTTAAACAAATCATTGCAGCTGTTAAGTTAGTAACACGGTTATTAAGTACATCTGGCTTCCCCATTGACTTTGCTTGTCAGAAAGTTGCAAAAGGTGATCACATGACCCCGGGACACTGTGACCATCATAAAAACATGACAGTTGCCAAGCGTCTGAAGTTTGATCACATTGTCATGGGGAGGCTATAAAGATTGTGTAAAAAATGGTCATAACTCACTTTTTTCAATGCTGTTATAACTTTGAACAGTCACTATATGAAGGCAAGGACTACCTATACCCAAAATGACAGAACAATCCCTGTCCCCATGGTATCTGTATCCAGTTGGGATGTTTAAAAATTGCGCAGCTGCAAAAGACTGTGCTACTCGGAACAGCATACATTTTAAGAAGAGACTTGGTTGAAACCTAGGATGCTGACCACAACCTGTATCAAGCAGCAGAGCCAGTCAATGATATTTTTGATATATTTTTAAATGTTCAGTTGACTGAGTTTCATGTTTAATGAATAAAAGAGATAACAACAATAATAATAATAAAAGGGAAAGGGATAAATGATGATATACATTCAATAATTAAGAAATCTTGTTGTGTTGTTATGCCTTTTTTTTTTTCCTTCAAGAGAGAACTCTCTGTACTATGTCACATACAACCGAAAATCATGCTTAATTTAACTATTACTTACTGGGTAAATACAAAACACTGATCTAGGACCCTTTTTTTTTTTTGTAAATTCAAGTCAGTGTTGACTCTTGGCAGCTGCCTGGAGTCCCTGCAGTTTTCTTGGCAAGATTTCAGGAGTGGTTTGCCCTTGCCTCCTTCCTAGGGCTGAGAGAGAAGTCATTGGCCCAAGGTCAGCCATCTGTCTAAGGAGAGATTACAATTCAAGGCCCAAAGCTTTAACCATTACAAACTGGGTGTCTTTAGTTCCAGAAACTAGCCAATCTCAATAAAAAGACAATATATGTAGCTCAGGATTGAACTGTGGAGTCTCTTCATTACCCAGTCTGGTAACAAAATGCCTGCAAGCAAACAATTAAGCTCCGAGAACATCAAGTCACCACAACCATTCTCATTTTACTTGACAATGTTTTGCAAACCCGGTTATTGAGAGAGCAAGGAAAGAGTACAAAGAGGAACAGTGGGGGGGTTAGACAAAGACTACAAGCCTGCAAGACACCTAAATATTTCATTGTCTCCAGCCTCCTCTAAGTCAGATGTCCTTCAGATGTGCTGTAATCACCAGTCACTATCATCCATAGTGTTGCTGGTGGGGAATCATGGGAGGCTTCCAAGATTGAAAAAGTGCATTTTATATAAACCAGTTGTGGCCTTCAGCATTTCCTCCCTCCTCTTGCTTCTAGCTTACATTGTGTGGAAGAAAACTTCACATCCACACAGTGAAGTCATACATAGCCTATGGAGTGTACAAATAATTGAATGAAAGAAAAACAAAATTGGAGAGACTTGTCACCGTCTACATCACAGTGTCAGCTCCATGTGTATCATTGTGAGCGTCTCATTCTGGGACATGTTTCTTTTCTTTGCTTTATGAGTCTGAGTCTTTTCTTGCTCAATGTAATACCCAGAAGGTGCTCTTCTTAATGGAGCCTTTAGGGATGAATCTCGGGTAGGGATTCTGTGGCTGTCTGTATTGCTGAATAACAACCCTCTCCACTCTAATGGGCCATGCTGGCTAGAGCTGCTAGGAATCATGGTTTAGTAATCTCTGGAAGCCCACAGGCTCTCTCTGTTCCTTCTTTTAAAAATAATACATATTTCTTAAAGTGTCAACATAATTCAATGCATTCCATTTTTGTAGCTACTCAGATTGCTGGATGAGCAGGCACAAAAACAGCCAGGGAAGAGATTGAAGCCTGGGAAATGGGTCCTTTGTCAGTCATAGGAGTGCTGACTTACCACTAGCTTATCAAATACTTAGGATGTGTGTGCTTGGCAGCACAGGGAAACAACAGCCAATGACTTAATAGCCAGCCATCAACACCCCAGTCAGCAACTAAAAAGCCACACACAAGACACCATATAAATACCACACACAGAATAGCCCAAAACACACACTCTGCCAAAGAGAAGTTCCCTGAAGATGGGCTGCAGCATGAGTGCGAAAGCTTAGAAGATTAAACCTCTGTTTCTGATGACCGACCCAGATTGGATCCTGCAACATCATCCTGGGACAGTATATTTGCTTTTATTTGGGTTAACATAATGTCATCCATAAATCTGTTCTTGGCAGAGAAGGGAATTGTTGCTGCCTTGAGACATTGATTCCTTTCCATATGAACAAGTAGGTTCTAGCTTGTTCATATTGAAAGGAATTATTTCTATATGAACTAATTATGTAGAAGTATTACCTTGAGTTAATGTGCTCACAGGGAAATGTATATTACATAATTCATCCTCATGCAGGTCAAAGAGATACACTCATTTGTTTCTGCTCTAAGAACCCCTGAATTTGTCAACAACCCTAGATTCCTTGAGTGTTTCATCCTTTAATTTCATGTTCTTTACTGGGCAGCTTCCAGATGCAGCCTTTGGTTACTTGTCCCAAAGGTACTTTTTCAAGAAACAACTGGACTTTTTTTTTTTTTCAAGGTGTTTCGCTTCTCATCCAAAAAGCTTCTTCAGCTTTGACTGGATGGAGGGGAATGGAAGGATTTATACCCCTTGCAGACGGCTGGTCATTTGCATTCTTTTAACAAGTTGTTGAGGCCACCTGGAGGGAGGTTTATCTGTGTCGTCAGGGTCACCTGAGTAGTGCAAATGGATTTGGAGCCTTCTTAGAATTGCCGAAAGGACTGTGTTGTGGACTGGAGATAAATGATGCCGTATCCCTCCCCTTCTATTGAGAGAGGGCTGTTCAATTTTGACATAGATGGCCTCTTGGACCCCTTTTTCAAACCAGCGGTCCTCTCCGTCCAAAATGTGAACTTGGCTGTCTTCAAAAGAATGCCCTTTCTCTTTTAAATGCAGATGGACTGCTGAATCATGGCCCGATGGGTTTGCTCTCCTATATTGCGCCATGTGTTTATGAAGTGCTTATTTTGTTTCCCCAATATACAGATCTGCACACGGCCTTTGGTTATTTGTTACTTCTGGAGTTATAGCCCAACTATCTAAACAGCACCAATTGAAGAAAGGCTGGTGTAAACAAAGAGCAATTTGCCTTCTCCCCAAATAGCAGTAGTTCTTTTCCATGAATGCGTGTGGATTTACCGTCTGTGTGTGCATCAGCCTGAAACACCATCAGAGTCTCCTTCATTTGTCCCTGGGTGCCTTGCAGAGTGTAACATCCTCTTCCAGATTGTTAAGACAATGAATCACAGGCAGGGAGAGAGCTCCAAGAGAGCACTAGGACTTGCTGGCTCCTGGCCCAGAACATGTGCATTTGGAGGGAGGGAGGGTTCCGTTTTCTGCTTCCTGGCTTTGCAGCTCCCTCAATGACAGCTTCTGCTGCTGCCGGGATTGTTTCCCCTTGTCACAGACACCAGTTTTCAGTTCCCTCTTAAGAGGTGCTCAGTGAAGCCACTCCTGGCTAGTGCCGAAGGCTGGCACTCTTCTTTAGAAGGATATGGCACTTTTCCTTGGCATTCCCCTTAAGGAACCAAACACATGTTAATGGCAAGGAAACACCCCAACCTTGAGATTAGTTGCTCCATTTTGGATCTAAAGTTTTCAAAACAGGAGTGGAGTGGAGAACTCTTCTTGTGAAATATTTCTGGACTTTCTCAACTGTGTTAATATCAGATACCTAATGTGGGTTCCAGACTGATGAGCTGTATTCAAGTATAGGTCTAGCAAATGTTTTGTATGGTCTAGTTAGTAGTGTGATATTATCAGAAAAAAGCTACGTAGGATTAGGTTAACAACTCTTAATGCCTTTTTGGCTATGTAGTTGCAGTGGGCTCTAGCACTTAGATCATTAGAGATGAGTACTCCAAGGTCCTTGACAGAGTTTGGATCATCAACAAGGTCTTGACTATTCAGCTTGTATTTTATTTTCTGATTTTTTTTTGCCAATATGTAGGACAGAGCATTTATTTGTTGAGATTTGAATTTGCCATTTGTTTGACCATTCTGATACATAGTCAAGATCTTCTTGAAGGGTAGCAGTATTGTCTGTGGTGTTGAATAGCTTTACATCATCAGCGAAGAGAATGCAGTTGCTCTTAATATGATCACAGAGGTCATTTATGTAGAGTATGAAGAGAGTAGGTCCTAGAATGCTGCCTTGGGGGAAAGTAGAAAGGAGACAAGTACTGAAAGGGAATAGATGGGAAGACCACTGCCTTCAGAGAGGGAAACAACAGGGGAAAGAGAAGAAAGCACAGCTTTCTAAGGTTGAAGAATGGGAAAGGAGTCCACCCAAGCATTCATTACAGGCCTGAGGATCCAACTCAGCAGTTCCTAAATTTTCTGCATAAGGTCAGATAGAGTAGAGCACAAGTACTGAAATAAGCACAAGTACTGAAATATTCAGGCAATCTTTCTCAGCCACTATCCTTGAGTGTTTGCATAATTTACCCATTCCCCATCTTTCTGTCCCTTCTTTCACAAGCATAGAGGAGATGAAGAATGAATGATGGAATCAAACAGAAAGCCCAACAGGGATTACACTGTGTTTCTTCAGATGAAGCCCTGGATGCAAGAAATGACTCTAGGCAGGGGGGAGTGGGAGGTATGGGGGGTGGGCAATAATGGCTCCTTTCCTGAACATGGCTGGCTTAGGAATTCTGGGAGTTGAAGTCCACAGGTCATAAAGAGGCCATAATAGCTCACATCTGCTCTTGTCATTCTCTGCTCTGCTCCTTCAAATCTACTGAAAAAAATTCCAAGGAGAGAATAGACTTGAAAAACACAAATATGTATTTTTGCCCATTGCCAGTGAAAAAAGTGGGGCTACATAAATCCAGACAACCATTAGATGGCAGCCAAGAAATTTAGAAACATTGCTGCTGTTGCTGCTGTTTCATGAGCAGAAGTTTGCAGCCCTGATTTGGTTGCTCTAGGAAAAGAGAAAGAAGAGAGAGGGAGGGAGGGAGGGGAAAATATATAGGACAGCCTGGAGTCCTCTATTCCTAGAGAGTGACAGGTTGACAATCTCATCTCATTTAAGATGACCCAGAAGCCCACCCATGCATGAGGCGGGAAGTGGGGCTAAAGGTATCTTTTTAGCTAACAAAGCCCAAGAAGAACGTGACCTACTTTCCACTGTCATAAACCTAATAGGACTACTCTGGAGTAAGAGCAGGATAAACCACAAGCTGGATGGGGAATCAACCCAAGAGATTAACGAGGTATTTTGAGGACATTGTTGGCATTATTCGGTGCTGCCAGTGCGCCATTGTAACTGTATCAGGGGACGGTTTAAGGACGGCTGGGAAAAATCTCTCTTCTGATCCCTAATTCAGAAGCATCCAGAATCACTAGCCTCTGCATCCTCATCCTCACGATTATCAGAAGAAGAAGGAGGAGGAGGAGGAGTGTTAAAAGCGCGGTGCTTCTCAATAGCTCGATTCAGGATACACCTCAGAGTAAAATGCTCTGAATTGTGCCTTCAAATCCTAATCCCCTCTACGCCGCTCTGTCTCTGTCCGGGTGTTATTCAGGGAGAACGGAGCTTTTCTGTCCGCGCAGGGCGCTCTTCTCCCAGCCCCGTCGTGGGATGTCGCGCCTGGCCGACCAAACGTCGGTCCCGGCAAAAGAGAAGGGCCGTGGCAGGCCGCCTAGAAGAAGAGCCTCGGAGGAGCCTGGAGGCCGTCCGCGCGCGGGAAAGGGCCAGGTGCTCTGCCAAGTCCAGAAAGGCGAGCCGGGCTGATGCCAGGAGGCAGAAGGAGAGAGGACGGGTTCCTTCCGCCGAAAAAGCGCTTCCCGCGGGGCGGGCGGGGGTTGCGGGAAAGTTATTTTCCTGGCAGCAGATCTCCCGGGGTGGAAAGAGCGGGGAAAGGATGCAAAGGGCGGCGGGAACTGGGGTGATGGAGGGAAGAGTCTACAAAAAATATTCCGCCCTTCTCGTTCCAGTAGATGATGCGGACATCCCGCCTTCCTCCCTCTCTCCCATTTCCGTTCGGGAAAGAAGAAAGGGGGGCTCACCCCGCCTCTAGGGCGAGGCCGAGGGCAGGAAGGATGCCGCGCTGCCAAACTCCCAAGCGCAGCTTTTCAACTACTAAACCCAAGCCGGTGCCGATGGAGCCATTCTGCTTTTGTCACAGAGAAAAGCGACCGAAGGTCGGCCCCGGGCAAGTTTCATTTGGGCCAAACTGCGCTCCTCGACTCTCCTCCATCCGTCCGATTCCATGTGGAGCGGCAACAATCCCCGCCGCCGCGAGCCAAAATGAAACCTTTCTTGGGTGTCCCCGGGAAAAAGGAACTGGAAAAGAGAACTAAAATTATAGTTAGGCACGTTGCTCTCTCTCTCTCTCTCTCTTCCTTTCCCTCTCTCCCTCCCTCCCTCCCTCCCTCTCTTCCAGATCGGTCGCACGCTCCTAGAATGGACTCGTTCAAATCTGGCGTCCTCTTGTCAATCGGAGTACAGTAACAAGCCTGACGTACACTAGCACCTCGGCCAAAGTGGCAGGCGGGGAGAAAAGTAACGCTCCGCAAACACCCGAAAGACACAAGTTTTCTGTTCGCCTGGGATGCAACACTACAAACGGGCAGTCCCCTGTACCTCTAGACGGTCCTACGGGGGGGGGGTTCGTCCTGAACTACGGGGTGGGGAAGGATGTCCTGCGGGTCCAAATTATGTTGAAAACAGACTGTCCTGACGATAGCCCGCCTGCATTTTACACCCTAGCATTCTCTTCTTGAACACGAGCACGCGTAGACCGCGATTGTTGCGATTTCACGCGGGAAAGTTGCACCTAGGCGGATGCCCAGCGCACCTGCCTCCTGCATTCACAACATAACCCTCCAATTCCAAACAGCCGCTACGTTTTGCCCGAGGAACTTCAAAGTGGTCACTTTTTGGAGAATTGTTGGGAGAGGATTTCCGGGAGCCCACCGCAGATCCGCTTCTGTATTTTTTTGTTTTTTTTAAAAAACACCCCTCGAGCACGCGGTCCGCAACAGCAATTTCCCACTGTCCGAAGACAACCTGCTCTGCCGCACAGGCGCACGCCTTACGCATCCGACCGGGCGCCGGTCCTTTCCTGCGTGCTCAGGCCGCGCCCCCTCCCCTCCCTCCCCTCCCCCGCAGGTTGTCCCTGCGCGCCGTTCCATTCATTGCAAGAAGGAAAGCAGCGAGTACGTGCAGTCACCAGACCTGCTCAGTGTCCCTCTATTTGGACTTAGACCTCCTGAAGCAGGAAACTCGATGGGCACCGAGCAATTAAACAGGGATTCCACCCTACTGTGACGTCAGTGGCATTGTAGCCCCTCCCGCCCTCTATAAAAGCAGCCCGCGTACCGCAATCGGCTCAGCAGTTCGGTGGATAGTTCCATGGTGCTGAAACTCCTGTTGCCGTTTTTTTCCGGAGCTCCGCGTTGCTTGGGATCTTTGCTCCGGTCATGTTTGCCTCGGTCCGCTGCAGCTTGGTGTTGGTCTCCCTTTTCTACTTGAAAGGATGCGCCCAGAATTTTGGACAGACTCGATTTATCTGCACCTCGGTGCCGGTGGATATGGACATGTGTACCTCTTCTATGCAGAGCAGCGGTAGCACCGAGGATATGAAAACCATAGTGCTACAGCTCCGGGAAACGGTGCTCCAGCAGAAAGAGACTATTATGAATCAGAAAGAAACCATAAGGGAACTGACCACGAAACTGGGCAGGTGTGAGAGCCAAAGCACTCTAGAAGCAGGCCCTGGTGAATCTAAAACGGGTGGGGGCTCCAACAGAAAGCAGACCGGCTCTTCCAAAAACACGATGGGAGATCTCTCCCGGACTCCAGCTGCTGAAACACTGAGCCAACTTGGGCAAACTTTGCAGTCGCTCAAAATAAGGCTAGAAAACTTGGAGGTACAACTTTCTCCTTTCTGTTATTTCTTAAATCTAGGCAAGGAGATACTCCAGAGTTCGCTGTGAGTTATCCAGCCTTTGCTGACTTGCGTATTGTTTTTATGGTGCAGCTTTGCCCTACATCGGAGGCAAAAACATTCACCATCCCATTCAAAATGTTCTCCATCACTCAGTTCTTTAACAGATTAGCTTGTTCCTTTTTAACTTGGCACTGCTTTTTCACTTGGTAAGCTCTGAATGCATTTAGCTGTGTCAGAGTAGCCTCAGAACGAGTTTCTGGAAAAATAATGCTAGGGTGTTAATTTGGTTTTCCCCAAACCACTTACTTTCTTTGCTTCTCCCCCAACCTTGCACAGCAATTCAGTAGGATGAATTCTTCGAGCCAAACCAATTCCCTGAAGGATATACTTCAGAACAACATTGATGATTTAGAAAAGCAAGTGCTCTCTCGAATTAACAGCCTGGAAGAAGGAAAGTACAACTCCAAGAATGAGTCTGAAGAAAGAGGAAAAATAGAAAGCACTTTAACTTCCCTTCACCAAAGGATCAGTGACTTAGAGAAAGGTAAAGCAACCTGGATTGAAATAGGTGTAGGGCTTTTTTTTCTGAATAGTGATCCACTTGGAGGAGAGTGGCTCCTGTATGTCCTTCCTAACACACACATACACACAGATACTTCACTGTAATTTACAGTCCTTAGTGGTGACACTTCTTCTGGGGTGAATTGTGAGTTTATGCGGATTGGGAAGGGCAATAAATAGGTTCTGTATAATCTGTCTAAATTAATATTGGCCCACATTGGAAAAAAATACTATTCACTAGTGAAGTATCTTAGCAGATAGTACCCAATGCATGTCTTAATATAAGTGATTTATGTAGATTGAGTTCTATCCTCTAAGTGACCTAGAACAAGCAAGAGTATTTTTTTTTCTTCAGACTCCAGTAAAATCATTGCATCCATGTACATTCTTTGCTCCTACTGTGTGTGTATATACAGAGATACAGATATAAATAGTCATTAAGAGTAAAAAGAGAGAAATGAGAAAAAGAGCCTTTTCTCTAACTGCTGTCCATGTGATTAGGATTAGTGTACTGAAATGTGTTGGAGGGATTTGAATACTGCCATCTTAAGGTTCATTATATAATGAGAGAAAGAAAGAAAGAAAGAAAGAAAGAAAGAAAGAAAGAAAGAAAGAAAGAAAGAAAGAAAGAAAGAAAGAATAAATTCTAAGATAAACTGTTCAGATCTATGTGCTAGCATTGATACTGAGAAGTGATCAAGGCATTTCTACAAAGCTTCATTCCATTTCTTTTGGCACTGCCTCAATAGAACAATCTGTAATATTGTGCATGTCTACTCAGAAATTAGTCTCATTAAACTTGCTTCCTGATAAATGAATGTAGCATTACAGCCTTAATAACTCTGCAAATACAGAGCAAACACCCTTTCTTATCTTCCTCCAGGTCAGAAAGATAATAGGCCAACAGATAAATTTCAGCTGACCTTCCCTTTGAGAACCAACTACATGTACGCAAAAGTGAAGAAAAGCTTGCCAGAGATGTATGCATTTACAATTTGTATGTGGATAAAATCAAATGCCTCTCCAGGTGTAGGCACACCCTTCTCTTATGCAGTACCTGGACAAGCCAATGAGTTGGTACTTATTGAATGGGGTAATAATCCTATGGAGATTCTTATCAATGACAAGGTAAGTGTTATTCTTTCAGTGAAGATAATATGCATATATTAATACATGAAAAAATTAAAAGAGGCAAATTACTCATTAAATGTGTAGATAAACAATGAAAACTTTGCATTTGTTCTCCAAATATCATTTGCACATGAGGAATGTGTTTGCAAATCTTTGGTGCTAAATAATACCCTAAATGCTGGTCTTAAAACAGTTTAATTTTTAATGTAAGAAGATAAGATGAGTCTTCTTTTTAAAAAACTTCACGTTTCAATGTATTCTCTAGGGCAAGTAAAATACATCTATTTTTTTATATGGTTCCGAATTAAACCGTTTGATTTGACCAACATTTAAAGAAGGGCTACTGTGCACAATGTAATTTTTAAAGAAATTTTTCAAAGGAGAACTTCTAACTTTAGTGAAAACTTGCATATTTTCATAAATATGAACAGCTTGTTTTTTCATTCTTCACTGTGCGTCCCCAAATTTGTCAAGATATATTCCAACTTAAGCAACACATTCTTCTGAGGCTTAACAAATGCATTCGATTTTAAATGCTGAAGAAGTCAACTCTCATTTTCTCAGAATTCCAGAACTGTAGAAATACATGACAATATTTTCAGATCTGTTTCCTTATTGTCATGGTATTTAAACCTGCAAATCTAACTCTGTGTCCTTGACCATAAAACAAGCATTCTCATAAAATGTACTTTCAATGCAATTCTGTTCATGGTTACTCAGAAGTGAACCTTTATTAAATTCAATAAGATCAATCCCAGATAAGTGCATTTTGCTTTAGATTGCAAACTTTTGTTATCCTTCAGATAATATAAATGTCCCAATGGCTGCTATGGAGATTTGGCAAAGTTCCCATCTTATTAGTAAATACAACAGCAATCAGATCTCCAATACAGTGCACAATATATTTGGGGAAACGCATATCTGCAGCAATTCTCATTTTTCTTTCCTCAGGTAGCAAAGCTTCCTTTTGTCATTAATGATGGGAAATGGCACCATATCTGCATTGCATGGACAACCCGCGATGGTGTCTGGGAAGCTTATCAGGATGGCACCCAGCGAGGCAATGGGGAAAACCTGGCCCCTTATCACCCGATCAAGCCCCAAGGGGTCCTAGTGTTGGGGCAGGAACAGGTAAGGTGGTGCAGTGATGACAGGAAATGATCGTCCCTCTGCAGCAGGGATAAGCAGAAGTCTGGGCTTTTAGAACTAGAATCTTGAGATCCACCAATTGGGACCATGTGCAACACACATAATTTTAAAAAAATGTGAAGTCCAAAAATCATTTTGAATGCCAGAACTACAATCTTCTAATATACATACAGAAAGACTCCTGGCTATCCCTCCTAACCACCCCCCACATATTTTTCATTTCTGCAATACGCTTTGGTGGAGGGAGAGTTATAGTTAATGCTGTTTAAAAAAAAAATCCATGTCCATCTACTGCAGATCACCCAGTGATCTACAGCAAATAACTGTCAGCTCATCCTTGCAGTAATTTGCTGTCGTTTCATATAAAGACTGGTGAAGAAGGTGCTAAGCATCAGAAATAGAGAAAATGTCCACTTCTGGTCTTAATTGCATTCAGTACTTTTGGATGTGTCCTTCTGAATTGTTCCAAGCTCCCCTTGGATCCCCTTCAATTCCAATGGGCACTGGGGGGGGCGGGTTGTGCTCTTCTGTTTTAGCTCTGATCATACCAGTCTTAGGCTGCTGGTGCTAACATGACCCTGATCATATCAAAACACTTCATAGCCAAAGTATGCTTTGTTCACACATTATAAGGTTTCCTGCAGCAAAGTTGCCATGAGTTTCAGCATTTAATTGGTTAGGTATGAATAGATTTCGCAGACTTGTGCTAGAATTTCCAAGCTTTGTTCCCCAATACTAAAGAGGGTAGAATTTACTTTGTTCAAAATAATAGCAGAAGAGAAATTAGGGTTAGTGGACTGGTGGGACGGTAGGAAAAATGCTTAAATGGGGAGGAGTCCAGAATGCGTAGGAGTTAAAGAAGATTAATCCGTTGTTGTTGCTTTGTGGCACCTCTTTAAGCTCTATATACACATGTCTACGTACAAATGCATATTATAAAATGCATCAGTACAGATCTTCCACTGCACAAATCACACTTTCAAGATATGTTCTGCAGAGGCTTAGGCACCAAAATTACTAACCAGCGATCTGTACCAGTGTTTGCCAACTTGTACTTTTGGGATACGTTCAGTTGTAATCATTCATTTCTCAGCTACCTGTGTGTTGCAGTTCCAATATATTTTGAGGCTATTAGGTAGGGAAAGAGGGATTTACACAGAAGTGTCAATGTGTCACCTCGGCTTTATGACAGTACTGTGTTTGGGGAGTTCTGGTCATCAGATCATAGATTCAGACTAACCTGAATATTTTCATGTAATTACTCATCCCATGTCATCTCAGATTCTTCCCTTCCCACTTCGCAAAAGCAGGCAGCTGTTTTCCTTATCTTACTATCCAAATAACATAGATAAATAAATTCTCCTTAACAATGCTGCTTATCCACCTGGAGAAACTGTTTCATGAGGGGGGAAATCATGAATTCAATTATTGTTTCTTGATTCACTCACCACTACAACTCCTTATTCGTAAAACAAACTTTCTTCAGATGTGGACACAGATAAGTTTAAAAGTTTTTGGAATCGGTTTAGAAATATTGATACACGTTATTACCTAGCAGAATGAAATTACGGTGGAAAGAACAAAAATAAATATCGCCAATTAGAGATAGTGTAAAAGAACAATAATTAAATCCATAGCTATTTAAAAAGCTGGCCATTTAAAAAGCAATTCTTGTAGCTGATTACTAAGCAAAAAAAAAAAAAAAAGCATTATCTGAGGCACAGCAGCAATATTAGAACTTGTAACCAAAGCTTCTAGTTTTGAAAATATATTCTACAGAAAATGCACTTCAGTGACTGAATATTCTTGTCTTTATTCCATTTCCTATTGAGCGTCTTTAATGCAGTCTATTCTAGCTGACCTTTCCTTGCTACCTGAAAAGCTTTCTGGCTCATTTCAAGTGTTTACTATAGCAGGTTTTAAGGTGGTCGATGCTGTGTGTTCGTTCTCTGGAGAAGGAAAAAGCACCTCCTTGTGTACATGACGCTGTACCTATTTGCAGAGAATGACCTTTTCAAACCGTTGATCTTCATTTTTTTGTTTCCCATTTAAGGATACACTTGGCGGTGGATTTGATGCCACCCAGGCATTTGTGGGAGAACTGGCCCACTTCAACATCTGGGACCGAAAGCTCACCCCGGGGGAGGTCTACAACTTGGCTACTTGCAGCACCAAAGCCCTGCCTGGTAGTGTCATAGCCTGGTCTGAGACTAACATTGATATTTACGGTGGAGCCACCAAATGGACATTTGAAGCCTGCCGTCAGATCAACTAAATCTGCCATTCTTTCCCTTTCCCTCTCCCAGATCCGCTGAACCCCGGGTGAACAGACATTCTTCTCATCCAGGAATGTTTCACAGACAGACAATTTGCCTTCCTTTTTTTTTTTTCTTTTCTTTTTTCTGTTCTGTCACTTTCGAAAATCATATTACTTGTCCTGAAGAATCAGTATTTTATTGTGGAAGGGAGGGAAGACTAGGAATCTAGGAAATGTAAAGGGAGTTCTTGATATCATTCTGAGACCACCTGGAACTTTTCAAACTGGCAAAACAAAAACAAAAAACACCCCGAGAAAGTTCCTAGCTTTCCTCCCACTGCTTTATGACGTTGCGAGTTGAATGGTCTGATTTTTCTGGCTTGCCAACTGCGTTTGAAGCCTGAGTGCCTTTGGGCTGGTGCAACTCTTTCAGCACATTTGTCTTCGTTTGCATATACTTTTTAAGGTTTATCTCTCTATATATATTCCTATTCTACTCGATGTCTTTTCAGCAGCCATTCTCCTCTAGGCAGGTATTGATTCTTTTTTTTAAAAAAAATGTATTTATTGTTTTCCGAGTTACCGGGATGGCAAAAGCTTTTGAACGGTGCATAAGGAGGCTGGATAAGGAGATGAGGTGAGGGAATGGTTTCTTGTCTTAAATTGATCAGGTCCTCTACTGTCCCTCACTGGTGGTGTTTACTATTGGTTATAGCCAGAATAGGAGAGAGCCATCTTTGCCCCTTCAAGCGTACAGGTAAGACTTGCCAAGCGGAAGATCCTGGATGTCTTGTCCAGATCTGGGATAATATGTAGGAGCAGCTCTAAAACAGTCTGCTTTCCTACACTGCCTTTATTTTGCTTAGAACCTAAAGCAGAAGTCCCCAAACTTGGCGACTTTAAGACTTGTGGACTTCAACTCCCAACTTCAACTGAGGAATTCTGGGAGTTAAAATCCACAAGTCTTAAAGTCGCCAAGTTTGGAGACCTCTGGCTTAAAGGATCTGCCTCTGTTAGCCATCAAGCTTATGTGAAGTCTAGAGAGAGCCATCCTCCCAGAGACATTAGCTACTGTTTCTTCCAAAGCTTTGTGGCCTGAAGATGGCAGTGAATTCCCAAGACCCTTCCTGGGTGGACCTTCCCTTCTCAATTTCATAGCCAACTGTCCCCCTCCAAAAACAATGCATCTTGGACCTCTAATGGAAGACTTGGCTGAGAGATGGGATCATTTTCCCACCCCTTTGAGACATTCCACACCCTTGCTTAACCTCCTTTACTCTAAGAGCCATAAACCTGAAGGGCTTGTTGTGGGGGGTGGGGGAGGAGGGTGGGAGGGAAGGGCGGGGAGGAATAGGGGTCAGATCCAAAGTATGTGGTTACCTTCTGACTTCCATGGCCATACTTGTGAACTGAGAATTTTGGTTTATTTTTTCCCCCCAGTATTAATGGGGCATCATAGCAGGGGGCAGGATTGCGTAGTACAATGAGCCTTGCTTGGACTTTTCCCTAAAGGGCCCTGTGTCAGATGCTGTGTTAATTTGTGCAAAAGATTTCCTTTTTGAGAGGTGAAAGGGAACGGTGGGAAGGACACATTTCAGCCAATAAAGCTAAGAAGCCGAGCGAAGGGCCAATCTTGGTTTTGCTCCATAGACCCAGAAGAGAATGGCTGAGGGAATGGCTGTGTAGCCATTTCATGAATCTCTTTGGAACTAACCTTGTGCTGCACATTTGAAGCATTCAGGGAACCCTGGCCTGAATGTAAGCGTAGATCCTTCACAAACTTTTGTGAAGGAGACAAAGTGCATTTCTGTTGTAAAATCCACAGTATTTTACAAGAGTATCTTGAAAAGGACCTAAGGCTAGGAAGGCATCTTGGTTGTCTTCTCCTGTGAGGATTGTGCTTTGTTTAGACAAAGGAACCTACTTCCCCTGGGCGCGCGTGCACGCACACACATCTTCAGTGGCAACTAATTGCAATCCAGTAATGTTCCTTGCTTTGGATCCCATTTATGGTATACTCTTAGATTTCCGCAGGCTTCTAGGGAGACAAGGGGTGCACTGCCATTTCTTGCATGTTTTCAGTAGGAGCCTCAATTGTGTTTCCTTGATCTAATGCTTGCCTCCTTGCATGGGCTACTGCAGAGCTGTGGGGGCGTTTGCCAAGCAATAGTTCATGCTTTAAAAACAAATCATTCAAGCACATTAGTAGAGGTCAGGTGTGGCTGGGAAAAAAAAGGCAGTTATTCATGCCGTGTTCTTCCCCTGATAAAAGCATGACCTTAAAAACAAAAACAAAAAATCAACTAGCTAAAAGACGAGCAATGAACTTGTTAACATTCAAATCAATGGGGACTATTTCTTTCAAATATGCTCTTACCCCCAAATGTTTTGGGATGTTAGCGTTCTCCATTCAACATGGGAGTGATTTTGAACAGGTACTGTTGATGCCCTTCAATGAACACTGTGCTTTCGGATCAGGCTAACTGATATTTCCCGAAGTGCATGTCCTTGGGGGTTGTCCTGTTGTGGTCTCTCCCATGCCAGGTTTCCCTGGGAAAGAGACGTTCAGCATCAACGTTGCTTTCCTGGACATGGACCAGTTAGCAGCCCCGCCCTGCCCCAAGCCAAGGCTACTGCTTAATACAATTAATGTTCCCTCTTGCACTGAATAATTCATGCCTCTCTCAGGTGATGTCCTTTTATACAAGCAAAATGAGCACTAAACAAGCAGCACACATGTTTGCCTGAAATATTGTCTTGACAATTTCACCACATTCCTAGGGAGGGTTTTTGCTGGCCAAAACGCTGCCATGGTTTATGCTTATGGAGGATTCCCCCCACCCATGGGGGGTCCTCTATTTAGGCAGCCAGTGAATCCACCTCCTTCTGCCAGGATTCCCAACATGCATAATTAAAAGTCAGTCCTATTTGTATCTTAAAGAGCCTACTGGCAAAGAAGGCTTAAAGTCACAGATTAAAGTCTGAGATTCATTGAACTATCATTTCATCTTCCCTTGACAGTTTATCTATTGTTCGATATGTCCAGGCTTTCTCTTTGACACACACTCGCACGCACTCATGATCTCTTGTATTAAACTTTAAAAAGAAGAAATTTACTTATCAAGAAAAAGGGTATTTTTATTAGAAAAGAATATATTGAAAATAAACGGGTATTTCCTTGGAAAAATACTTTTAAACTACAGAGGAAGAACAAGAAAGTTTATTTTGAAATATGTAATGTTTTATATGGTTTCTGTAAAAAGAAAAAGAAGAAGAGAGAGAGAGAGAGACTTCCTGGTTTGTATGACTCTACTGCAGTCCTCAGCCTTTTCAATCAGATAACAGATAATCAGAGTTGGAAGGGACCTTTGAGATCATCTAGTCCAACCCTCTGCCCAAGCAGGAGGCCCTACACCATTTGTGACAGGTGGGAGTCCAATCTCTTCTTGAAAGTTTCAAGTGAAATCATCTTTCCCTTTTTCTGAACGTGGTGGAGGCATTTTTTCCTTGGCCGTAGGGAAGAAAAGGGAGAGGATCGTAAGACGTTTGAAACCCTTTGGGGTAAAGCTGTGGCAAATGCATATGCAACTGGATAGGCAGAGAAGCAACTCAAGGCTAAGGAAGCACTCACACAAGGCTGCCGCTAGTCACAGAGTGAAGAGGGCCAACCTGAAAAGGCTACGCGAGAGAGCTAAGGGGAAAGAAAACCCACCTGTGACAGACTCACCAAAAGAAGCCCTCTAAATAGCTTTCTTTTAAATAGCACCATACAGCAGCGTTCCTTATATAGTGCTCTTTTAAGCTGACCAGCCAAATTGTACCTTGTAAGATCAATCTGCTCATGAATCTTATTAGATACCTTCTTCAGTATTATCTGGCGAAGTGGGGGGGAATCATGAAACGGTCAATGAACTCAGTCCAAATTGCATGCCACTTGCCCTATAAAAGGGGGGGGGAGGATAATTTTACAATTGTATATACTGTACAGTGTGAAAGACAGTATGTTTCTCGAGTTACCATTCTGTTAACCAAAGCTGTATATTTTCCTATTTCTTGCTATTAGTCTTTATTGGATTTTGAAAGAGTTATTGTTATATCTGACATCCAGAGAACACATCAGCAGTTCTTAAAATGCACTGTTTCTACTAGTTCTTCATGCTTTTCCCTCCATTTTATTGCTGAAACTACATGAATTGTCGAGTTTATTTTTACACAATAAAAAAATGATGAAAGACACGAGGTTGCATTCATTTTCCTCCCCACCTGGTTTCTTTCCCCAGAAGAACCTCCTCACTGGATACTGTTTTCAGGTCACTGCCAGCTTTCTGAATGAGTTGCTTCTGGGAAAAGGTTGCTGAGATTCCCACTAAGATCCTCCACAGAGCCGCAGCACATCTGCAAAACCAGCCCTTGCCAAAGTGGTGCAACCCCCAACACCACGCCAAGCAGGCTAAGACCCGCTCAGAACATTCACTTCCATTTCTTCTGTCTAAACAATTTTGGTTGTCCAGGGTGGTTTTTTTTTTTTTTTTTTTGGCTGCCTTTTGCTCTAATACCAATTTGGCACAGACTTTTTTTGGGCCCGCTTTTATTAATTGCCTTGATCTAATGCAGAGAAGAGAAGAGAAGAGAAGAGAAGAGAAGAGAAGAGAAGAGAGAAGAGAAGAGAAGAGAAGAGAAGAGAAGAGAAGAGAAGAGAAGAGAAGAGAAGAGAAGAGAAGAGAATTTTTTATTGGTCAAAATAAGGAATTTGTCTTGGTGCATATACTCTAGGTGTACATAAAGGGAAAATAAAATATATTAGAATAAAAAATATATTCTAATGCATCTCCTGCACTCAACCCATGGTGTATTTTTTCTACCCCATGTTACAGTAGGTTAGGGATCAAGATTTCAGATATTTTCCACTTCTCTATCTTAGTGATCTTAGAGGACTTGTAGCATGGATTTCTGATGCACATTGACTGGGTCATAGTCTCAGTCTTGTCATCTCCTGGGAGAACCGCAGTTCCATCAACTAAACGAGATCTAGTTAATTATGCCGGTGAGACAGAATTGGAGGCCACAAGCCCAAGTACGAGCAGAACAGCCCTTAAGTTTCTGAAGTAGTACAGTTTATTAATAAAAGAGTAGGATTTAGTAAGACCCTTTATCTAGAGCCTAAAATTTCT